GGAAGATGTTTGCAGATCGTACCTCTACCTCATGGTATAGTGGACCACTTACACATGTGATAGTTATGCAATTCATCATGCCGTTTTTAACATTGGACCTATGATTAATAATGCAGCTCGCAACGCTTACTGGGCACACGTATAGAGTCCTCTACCTTGCAATCTCACCGGATGGGCAGGTAGATTTAAGTTGTTTTCTTGTTGTAAGTTCATTGATGAACGATCATATGTTTTAACAATGAATAATGGGTTTTGTAGACAATTGTGACGGGAGCTGGAGATGAAACACTTAGATTCTGGAACGTGTTTCCTTCGCCCAAATCTCAGGTAATTTATGAGGACTTGAAGATCACTTGTTTTCTTGAATTCCTTCCATTCAAAAGAAAAAGGTCAACTTCTTTCTCAATTTAAAATCATATCGGATGGATAAACAGCGTAGGTATTCATGGAAACAACCTCTCTACTCTATTTGAGGTAGAGGTCATGTCTGCCTACATCTTCCCCCCGAGACCCTACTTTCAAGTGGACTTACTGGGTCAGTTTCGTTTATTTATTGGCTAAAACAGTTGGGGTTCATCTCGCCACCAAGGCTTGACTTCCGAGTGGGATTTACCGAGTCGGTTTGGTTTTATCCAATGACTAAAAAAGTCGGGATCTTGATGGAAACAACTGTTGTACTATTTGAGGTAGAGGTCAGGTTTGTGTATATCTCCCCCCTCCCCTCCTCCAAGACCCTACTTTCGAGTAGGATTTATGGGGTCAGATTGGTTTTATCTAATAGTTACGCTCGACTATTAAGGTAGATGTCAGGTTTGCGTATATATGACCCTCCATATCCTATTTTTGAGGGGGATTTACCTTATGAATGCATGATCTATGTTATGCAGAACACAGAGAGCGAAATCGGAGCATCTTCCTTTGGCAGAACGCACATACGTTAAGCCCATTTTACATTTGAGGTTTGTCGGGTCGCCATTGAACTCATGAACCTCAAAAACATAACTTATGATCGAGAAGACCCGATATCCTCGAGGACAAGTGTTTGATTGACCTAATGATGCCATCGCTGGTACAGAAGAAGCAGAAGCTCAAATTCTCAATGAGTTATGCCATTGTTCTCATGTAAATTGACATGCGCTTTGAAATTCGCAATTTTTTTAAAGTTCTTTTGTAGTTTATCGACGCATAGCAGAGTCAGTGTCGCAGCATACCTCCTGTATGCGGTTGTGAATATAAGTTAACAATACCGTTAGCAGAATCATGAAATTAGACCGAGCTGAACCAGACCCGTTTTAGTGTCCGTGGTTTGGTTCATCATTTTAGGTGTCTGAAGAGAACTGATTTGCTGTATAAAACTGTATCGAAATTGATTTAATCTTGTGAACGAACCTAATCATCTTACGTACCTCAACCCTGAGAAGTTCGTGTTAGGGGGTCTTTACAGAAGCAACAGTTATCCCCTCTCTCGCTTTGGGGGATAGATGACATGTATACAAGGGGTAGAGAATGTTTGTATACTGATTCAGCTCTTGGCTGAGCGATTAAGCTCCTATCGAACACATAGGTATGGCTGTGCGAGTCAGCCATATCTACCATGCAGCTCATTAAGCTGTTACCGAACAGCCTCTTATTGGGTTAGTTTCGATTGGCATGACTGAATGATATATAATTATCAAAACTAACCGACCAAACCATAATCAAACAAGAAACGTTGCTTTCTTGTAAAATAAGATTTGTAGACATTGAATCATGGAGTAGTTATTTTCTTTTATTTTATATAAATAATATTTTATTTATTTTTCTTATCATACTAAATTATTTATTTACTTTCTTAAACATAATTAAATAAATAAATCAATAATTAATACAGACCCGATAAATATTACAAACATGTGAAAATCAATACAAACCATTTAGTAAGTTCGACTTTAGATTATAATTTACATTGTTTCATATTTTTGTCTGTATATGATTGTGTGTTTAACAAATAAACGTATTTTGTTAATATAATATAATTAACGTTGAAATTGTTTAAAATTAAGTAACTGTTGAAATTGAATATAATTTTTTTTTGAAGATTTTTAATTTTAAATAAACTATTTAAAAAATTATAGCGAAGTTTTTATGCAAAATTATAGGAGGGGTTTGGGATTGCTTATTTGAAACAACTTATGTTTTTCTATAAAAGGACTTATCAACTTATTATAAGTCAGAAGACTTTAATTTTTTAAAAAACTTTTTATTATCGGTTTGGTACCGGTATAAATTGTTTATCCAAATACTTAAAAATGCTTATTATCGAAACCATATAAAATAAATAAGTTATTTTTATAATCAATCCCAAACACCCCATAGTATTGGGATCAAAGTCAAATTCATAAATGTGAAGTATTCATCAAATTGATTCTCATTTTCGTATTTAAAACCTAAATTGCAATCTTAGTGCCCAAGCAAATAAGTGAAATACAACCTTAACCCCCAAGTAAACATGCCAATACATTTTTAGTCCAAAATATTTTGTTTTTTTTTCATTTTTAGGCTTCTAAATTATGAATTTGTCAATTTTAGTCCTCCAAGGAATATATTTGAATCATCATATCATTGGAACGAATATCAAAAGTTTTTATATAATGCGTTGTCAAAGCCAATGAGTTACCAATAATGTAAGTATAAGATAAGAAAAACCAGATACTGCGTTATAAAAACTGCAGATTGAAGGTCATGACGTGCCACAAACTTAACGTGACATCAGATGCGAATCTTGAGTCATGACACAACACGTCGACTACCATAACCAGCTTTTTAGAAAACCGATCATTAAATTCCGTGTCCTATTAATAACCCTCTTTCTTTGATATTGTATAAATGAATAAATATGAAACACATAAAAGATTATAATTTGAATTCTAAGGGACCAAAATTTGTAGTTAAATAAAAGATAAGGGAAAAAAGTGTCAAGATACTAAATTACAAGGGTTACTTTTGTCGTCATAGATAGAAAATTTAATTCTCCATTCCCTCCCTCCCTCCCTTATATAAACACTCATCGTCCGATCGCCAGATTCTCTCTTCGGCATCTTCATCAACTCCAATCCGCGTTGTTTTCCCTCTCTTTGACCCCCCAATCCACGCACACGAAACACGCACATATGCATATAGTATTCTGCGTATAACTCGCCGGTAGAAGTTGCTAAAAAGGGTTATCGGAAATGGCGTCGCCGTCGGAAGAGCAGAAGAATCGGGAGGAGACTCCCACTGTTAAAGAAATGATGCATAAAATGAAAATAATTCAGTTTCTTGGAAGAACTACTCCGATTATACTTCAGAACGACAATGGCCCTTGTCCTCTTCTCGCTATTTGTAAACATCTAAAACTCTCTACTCTTTTTAGGGTTTTTTTTTTTTGATTTTGCAAAGTGTTTCCTTAAACAGGTTTTTTATATGTTAATTAGGAAATGATCGTTGATCAGGAAGTCGGTAGGGACTTTGGACAGTGTCTGAAGTAATTAGGTTGGAATTAGCGCAAGTTTTAAGGGGGTGTTTGGATTTGCGTTTTCAAGATCAGTATTGTGATCTTGAGAATCAAAATCAGATAATTTTTATAATTTGCATATTTAGCTCAATAAAACCTAATTAAAGCTATGGATACTCGCATGATTTTCATTTATTTCAGCAATCACAATCACTTCCAACTCTTATCCATCTATTACTATTTTGATCTTGAATAATCAGAAATCATAATCATATTATTACGATTTTAAATCACAATAATCAATTTAATTGCACAAGTGCAACCATACCCACCGAGAATCAGGAGAAATGATTATGAGTTCTAGTTAAAACTGATTATTTGTTGGTGATTACTTAATTGGGACACCATTACCAATTATTCAATTTTGAGGGACTTTGGGGAGAATATGTTGTTGATTCAACTGTAATTGTAACTTCATACATAATCTTTAGTTAATTCTGGAATAATGGTTAGTCATCCCATATGTTGTGACTTTGGTCTGACTTGTGAAGTATTATGTGATTATCTGATTGCATTCCAGTGATCAATTTTCTTGTATCATTGGTGAGGATAACAATGATTATTAAGTTTAGTTTGTAACTGTGACCAATTACTTCCATGGACTGGTCGGGATGGGGTCAAAAGTTGATTATAAGTTTGGATTTTGTGTTCTCATTAACCTTCTGGAGCATAAATGATCGAAGTTTGCAATCTATGTTAGGTAACATTCTGTTGTTGAGAAACAATTTGAGTTTGAGCTCGGATGTAGCTGAAGTATCGCAGGAGAAATTACTTTCGCTTGTGGCGGAGCGTCTAATTGATTCAAACAGTAACGTCGATGTAATTGCACTTCCTATTTTTGGTATAAATTTATTATTTGTTGCTAAGATGAACAAATAGAAAAGAGAGCATTCAATTAGAGAAGCTGCTTTCCTTTCTAGTTGACCACCACACCTTAATCCAAGCTCTTCATCTAGCGATAAATTAAGCAGAATCGCGTTTCTCTTCAATCATGTTCTGATTGATTTTGATTCTTTTTAATTCGGCACAGAACAAAGATGCAGGGTACGTTGAAAATCAGCAACAGAACATAGCTGATGCCATTGATTTACTCCCTCGTCTTGCAACTGGAATTGATGTGAACATAAAATTCACGAGGTATGTTTTTTGTTTCTAGTTCATCTGTCTATTGCTGTTATATTTTATTACTATATTTGCCTCTTCATAACACAACTTAACAACATACAAATATTTGAGCTGTTGCAGGATCAATGATTTTGAATTCACGAGGGAGTGTGCCATATTTGATTTATTAGATATTCCACTTTATCATGGTTGGATCGTTGATGCACAGGTTTGTTCTTTTAGCCATGTAAACCTCTTTATGCAATAGGAAAAAATGTTCAAACATAAACTAAAATTAGTCTCAAGTCTCAAGTCTCTCACATGTTTCTCTTCTTTGGGATTTACAAAAAGCAGAAGCTGTTTCCTTGTACTTGTGGGTTGATTGTATTTAATGTGTTACTTGCATGGTTATGATCAAGGTGAGGCGTGTCAAAAAACGTCCTTGAGACGGCGCCTCTGCTAGGTTGGTAGGGTCTTCCGCCTTGAACTATTGAGGCGGGTCTAAGGCGGTGAGGCGGGGTGATGTGGTACTAAGACTTTAGGGTTAAAAAATATGCCAAATCAAAAGTATACTTATGGATTGATGACCCATTAAAGTGAAACCTCTGCTCCTTACTTTGTCCTTGTGCATGGCCATTGAAGAAGAAAACTTATTGTTACGTGTGATTTTTCTCTTTTCTATATAGTAAGACTACGTACTAGGGATGCGACTTGGGAGGTGCATAAGGACTCTTTGCTTTTACAGAGCAGGAGTGGCTTTTCTTCTTCTCTTGACATGTGTCATTTTTATTGTTTCTCGTGGGAGGCTTTTAATGTGGGAGATTTTATTGTTTATCTAATTTTTTTTTATTAAAAAATAAAATCTTTAATAATTGATTACCTAAATTAAAGTATTTGAAGACTTTATTAGCAACATTATGATTCTAAATATTATTATCAGCTAAGTATTACATATATAATATTATTTTATTTGTTTTTATTTTCTGCCTCGAGGCTTACGCGTCGGACGGCCTCGAGGCTTACGCCTCGCCTCACGTTTCCGTACTTTAAAACCTTGGTTACTTGATGTGGCTTTCTGATATTGAAAGAAGGGCAGTCACACCCTCGACGGATGAAGTGCCCAAGACTATTGACAAAAAGGGAACATGTAAATTTGTACTAGGCCAGACAACTTAAAATGATTTAAAATAAGCATATATCGGTTTATTCGAACTGACACCAAATCCAATCCATCAAATCAGTACTGAGATCCCCCCCTCCCCCCTCCCCCAACATAAAATAAATAAATAAATCGTCACTTGAAGTTGGGCATTAAACAGAGCTTGATTTAAAACGACAAATATTAGTCTTCGGGGGTCCTCCTCTCATACTCAGGAAGGGATATGGTGATTCTGAAAGATCGTTGTTCTTAACTTAGTGTCCTTTACTTTAAAAGTACTACGACTCTTGGTAGAGTGCGAAACAGAATGATACTAATCTTGCCTGTTTGTTTCTTCCCTTCCATTTTTGAGTAAAATTATATGAATCTTCAGTTTTTACTGGGTCATTATCTTTCTGTCATGCCTTCCAATTTACTTGCCTAAATCTTGTTGTAGTTATTTCGTAAGTTCACCTTATGGTAATCTTTTTCTCTTCTCTCCTTTTTCTGTTTTAAGTAAACATATATGTGATGTTAGACTTGTCTATTTATTTGTAGGGCAAATTGCATTAAAAAGTAATGTACTTTCATCTAATTCCTATTTTGGGTAACATACTTTTAAAACCTATATTTTGGTACCTCAATTGTAAAATATTAATCTTTTAAGTACCTGGTCTACCTGATGACTTACAAATGCTGACTAGGATTAGGTTTTTATTGATGTGGCATTTTTTTTATTTTTTTTATCAATGCCATCTAAGAAAAAAAAATCCATGTCATTTTTAATTTTTTTTAGATATCTGTATTTTCTTCAATTAAGGAAAATTCCACATCATTTTTTTTAAATTTGTATTTTTTTTCAGTTAAAAAATCCATATCGTTCTTTTAATTTTATTCTTTTGTGAAATACGTATTTTTCAATTAAGAAAAATTACATCTTTAGGCCTATTATTTGTTTAAATTTTAATTCACTAAACAATATCAAATAATAAAAACATTTATAATCATTGCTAAACATTTGATAAATTAATTAACAAAAATATTCCAGATGGTTAAATATTTTACAAAAATGACGTATCAATTATAATAAAAGGACAATAACATAACACCGCTATCAATTATAAACCAAAATGCTACTATACTTTGCTAATGCCCAACCAATATTACACCCGACTTCACTTAGTCCTTTTAGACGCAGTTTCTTCCCCTTCTTTTGCTTCAACTTCAAATAAAAAAAAAGTCGCGTTAATTACCTAATGACTTTTGAATAACAAATCGGAAAAATTTGATAAAAAAACATAAGAATCACAAGGTTTACTTACCACAATCGGTGGAATTGGACCAACCCTTTCTCTTTGAAGTCCTGCCGCTTGAACCTCTCCCTGAACTACCTCTTGAACCCCTACTTGAACCACTGCCTCTAGGCCTACCAACCGGATTTTTTTGCATAGAAGGTGCATCCTTTTTTTGGTTTTTACAACCTCTTGAATTATGTCCAACCTCCCAACAGTTTTTGCAAGTCATCTGCCTTCCTGTTCTTCCTACCTCATTATGTCCAAAATTGTTGGTCCTACTTTTACTACCACCTTCACATGCATCCTTCCGTCTAGATATTGAAGGTCTTCCGGGCATTCTTCTAAATTTTGGTGGTAAAGGCTTGACAAAATTTGTGGTCGGCCAAAGTTTGACGCCATTCAATGGATTGACCCTATGGTTGTATGTGTTTATGAAACATGATTTTGAAAAAAAGTGAGATACATACTTATCTGGGTCTCGGTTAATGAAATAGATAGCCGCAACTGCGTGAGCACATGGAATTCCAGAGACTTGCCAAATCCTGCAAGTGCATGTCA